CGCCCCAAAGATAGGTCCGATAAAACGAATGATGACGCCGTCTCTCATATTCACATATGCATTCGTTAACAGATTCCGGAAATTCTTACATTCCTTCGCCGCTATCTGAGAGATTGAATAACGTGTACTGTGTGCTTAACTGCGGTCGCATATGCAAATTTGCACGCACAGATAAGAGGGGATAATTACGAGGAAATTATGAACGAGGCCATTTTGAAGCAAGTTATTGTGCAAGTTTTCAAACCTCACATATCTTCTCGAATGTAAAACGTGATTCGGTCGGCGAAATATTATTCTTAATTTATTTTCAAGATAAAAAAAATTCATTATATTCATTAATCCTCCGTCTGCAATCTGCTTTTTTCTCAAATTTCTCCGAAATGAAGGAAAGTGGAATCCGGTTACTACTAAAATATCTCCTAAAATATACTCCTAAAATGTCTTGTTAAAAATTGATAATGTAAATAGAGATGTTGAAATTTAACCCTGAAATTTTTCACATTTTTTGAAAACCTAGAACAGTAAAGGAAACTTCGGCTAGACAGAGGAAGTAAAAATATAATATGCAGATGGAGAGTTAATGACACAATGATGAATAATTATTTTTTAAAATATTGGGAACATTAATCGATTTTCCATTTCCTTAAAAAAAAGGAGTTAATGTGTAAAACCATCTTTCACCAGTCATCGAGATCAGTAATTTACGGTGAATCTCGTCAATCCCTAAACGGGGCAGAATCTCGACCGCATGTTACCTCCCCGGCCCGTTGAGCCTTCTTGACCATTTTAGAGAAAAAGGATGCGTGAGGGGTCTCGAAGACGAGTGGCATCAACATTTTCTTGCACACCCATCGAACGAGTTTGAGACACAGGCCAGTGGCTGATGCGTTCGCGAGGGAAAGAAAAAATCTCGTAACGGGATAAACGGGCGATTGAGCATCATCGTAGTACCGTCACATTCCAATACGTAACGGCGAAAAGAGCGTACATTGCGTACTGGACATAACCTGAGAGAACAAGTACTGTGAATAGGCAATGACGGTTGGTTATATAAAATTTCTTGGAAACGCGCTCGAGAAGCGTGCATACAGTTTTTGAGAAGCTCGAGCAGAGACGAGAGCAGCTCCTACCAGTACTCGTGGAATTATCGTGTTCGCGGAAGAAATTTCTTTGATCGCGTTTACGAGAACCGTAATATTTCCCTCTGTAGAGAGGGTCCGTTCTCGTGTGCTCTTTGCAAGTTAGATCGAGTTCAGATTACGAGACTCTTTCATACGATACAAGTTTTTCGATGCATCGAAACTATCACGTGTGCCGTAACGTTAATCCTTACGCGGACAAATTCTTTCTAAGAATAACAGTAGATCCACAGGTTGAGAATCCGCATGGAGCACTGAGTGGAGTCCCCTATTTGGATTCCAATTATTCAGCGGCGTGTCCCGAAACTCTCAATTCTTTGTGAATCCTGACCCCAGACCTTTCTCCTTCCTTCTCTTCTGTCCCATCTGTCCGCGCTCTCTTCACTAGTCTCTGCATAGATAATGAAGCACAAAAAAGGAAGGCAACCACACGGTTTGCTGTCGTCCCAGGCGAACCGACGAATCAAAAAACTGTACCTTCTACCTCCACCGACGTTCACCAACGCCATTTCCTGTTCGCGAAGAGTACCTGCCCATAATCATTATTATTCGCAGCCAAATAGCCGGTGGCTCTCTTTCTCTCTCGCGCTATTGATTAATCTTATCTCAGAAATATCGAAGTCAATATCGTGGATATTCTAATACAAGTATCATATTTATAAAATCATTTCGTGATAATATAAATTTTCATAATATAATATTCATAATATAAAAATAAATGAGTATCAGTTAGTTATAAGTAAAGTTTTTAGGTTACAGATTATCCAATATGCTATCAAAAATTGATTGAAATTTATAAATTATTTTTAAAAAAATAATATAAATATTTCTGTTTGTTATTCATGCAAGATATTAAATAGAATAATTCAGACATTGCCATGAAATACATTCAGATAAAATTTAGAGAACTTAATTTGGAAAAGGAACGACAGAGGGTAAAGCAATGAGGATGATAGCAATATACACCAAATGCAAAGTACCGGCGAGATCGCAATTCGTAAAGCTGAGCTGCTGCTCCGTCACCTTCGCAGGTAGTTGGTAGACGAAAGCGTCGAAAGGAAAGGACTTGGATACCGTCGAGAGGAAAAGAGATAAGAGAATAGAGAGGAGGAAGGAGAGAGAAAGGCATACTCCGTCAGGTAGGAAGAACAGAGTAAAGAGACGTGGAAGTGGCAGGGCGAAGAAGAGGAGAGTAAAGGCCCCGGGCGAGGTCACCCGCCGCCCCCGCCCCCCTCATTCCCCCATACACCCTGATTATCCGCCGCCGGGGGCGGGACGCTCTGTAATGAGCATCGAAGAGGTGCTCAACCTCTGACTGTTTCGTAAATTTCCCTGGCAAAGCAACTTAAAAATCTTGCGACGATATCTTTCTCTTATGCTATATCTAAGTTTCACTTAAAATTTTTTCTCTCAACAATATTAAAGATCTATCGCGCATATATACCTATACACATTCAAATAAAAGAATTAAAATCGACATAAATAAATTGTGCACTTATAAAAAATAAATAAGAACACTCGTATTTTAATTATAAAAATGTTCAAAATATTTAATTTTGTTCCATAAATAAATTGCAAGATAAATGACAGAATTTATGAATTTATAAGTAATTTATATAGACTTTAAAATACTAATTCTAGATGACTAACTTCCTTTGATGTAATGCAACCTTTTAATGAAAGGTGATTATTGTACATGTGTTGTAAACATGTAAATATATAACTTGATTTAAACGAGAACAGGTTGGTTCGCGACATAGAACACTCACAGGCGAAGATTAGGGTAAAGCAGGAAGCAGCGGAAGGTGACGGGATGGTAAACGTTTGAATGGCGGAGCACGGCGTCGTCGGCTGTCTGCGAAGACACCCGGATGATCGAGCGATGTTATTTTAAGTTTTCCGTGGGGGCCCTCGGCTTCTCTCCCATCTTGCCCTAATCGGCCTGTCAGCCACCCCCGTAGCGTGGGGTCGGCGGACTACCCCCATTTAATACATACGCGCGCGTAACACACGCGCGCAATTTCACCGATCGGGAGAGCAACCGCGCCTGACACGACCCCCCACGGACAAGATTCGCCCTTTTTTTTCTCTCCTACATCGAGATTCGCGCCCGAGGATTCATGCCCCTCGAGGGGTCAGATTCAAAACGCTTTACACTCTCATAACCGAAACCTGTTGATTCGACAACCCCCGAAAATCTCAAATATCTCGACTACCCGCTGAAACAAGAATTCTTCAACGTTCGCTCAAGTAATACAAGAAATACTTTGCTCTGTGAATAATTCTTGATTTCATCTAAAGATAAGATTTCTTCTTTTAAAGAGAAGTTAAAAGGAAAAGTTGTAATAAATAGAAGAGAAGTGGTTTTGTTATCAAAGAATATTCAGTGCCTACTAAGATATGAACGATCCAACAGTCCTCAGGGCATTCCGCCACCATTAGCAACGCAACACCTAGTCAACTACCGCGACTCGGTGTTCTCAAACGTACGATAGACCGTGAAGATGGAGTCGCTTCAGGAAAGTTAGAATGCTCTCGCAAAGCTACGCGGTTCGTTTGATGGCCTCCTGGACCATCCACGTGTTTCCACTGGATGACCGTTTACACCATCAGGTTTGGTGGCACATATTATATACCGGAGGAAGAAAACAGAAGAAGAGAAGGTTAAGAGAGGAAGACGGACGAAGCCAAAGGCAGAGACAGAGCGGGAAAGAGAGCAAGAGAAGGCAAAAGAGGAAGAGAGAAGGATAGACTGTTGCTTTCTTGGGCTCCGGCGTGCTTATTGCGTGATATTAGCCACGGTGGCTGCCGCCACTGCTGGGATAATCATAATCTCGAAAGGGGGACAAAACACAGGCCCCGAATCGCATAACGCTGAATTTTACGACTTCTGGCATAGAGGAGATGCGACCGGATGCAACGCGGCTTTTTATGCTCTCCTAACAGCCCCTGACTTGATATCACGCCCAGAGATGAACGGCTTTTCGAAACGTCTTTCCGACCGTCGTTGGATTCGCTTGTCGGATTCGCCGTCATTGAACTCGAATATGAAAGTGTTGACGCAGGAAGGTACTAAAAGAGAGAAGAACGTCAGTCTTGTAGAGTCGAGAATTAAGTTCACGAAGAGATACAAAAAATATATTAAAAATTGGCTTTTTAATCTGCTAACAAATAACGTTATTATACAAGCAGTGTTCCAATATACACTGCTATTATTAAAAATCTATAATTCGCGTTACATACTATAGATTTTCACTACTGATGTACATCAGAACATGGCTATAAAAATTAGCTGATTATTATTTTAAAAAACTTAATACATTATATAATATATGTAAATGTATGAAAAATTGGTCAAGCAAATTCTCACAATTTCTATGAAAATGTAAGTATATCTTGTTATGATTGAAAGTCGAGCCGCTTTTTGCTTTGGTTTGGTGTATCTACGATATAAAACTAGCCAACACTTTCCGTTTGAAGTAATTATTCCGAGAATTCGATCTAATTTACGCGTTTGCATAGGTACACGATCGGGCCAGTGTGCGCGAGGAAGAGAGAGAGAGAGAGGCGAAGAGGAGGAGGGAGAGAGAGAGAGAGAGAGAGAGAGAGAGAGAGAGAGAACAGGCACCCAGCGGCGTTACATCGCGTTTCGCAATGCTGTATGAAATCAACGGCGAATGAGGCACTGAATGGAAGCGAATTGCGCGAGTCGAGTCAACGCGTTTCGAAGCGCACAGACTGCGTAATAGGGAGGATATTTTTTTCACGGAAGATACTGAATAGAAGGTTCCGCGACGATTTTTACCGTGGCATAAGTACGGTCTTGTAATCTCTGGGAAATTGAGATCGTGAGTCACTCACCGTAAGGTCGCTCCGCAACGGGTTCGCACGAATCTGCAACAGAAAGCATTCGCATTTGATTAGCCATAGCTCTGCAACCGTAAGTGGGGCGATTAATTATTCGTATTTGATATTAGCCAGCCTTTTGGGTCTCTCAGTCACCCGCTGCGATCAAGATAGAACATCGCATAATTTGTATTTCCATAGAGAGTGTATCGCGATTATTAATTACGTATGATAAATGATATAATGTAAGACAGGATAAAATCAAACTGATATAAAAAAGAAAATAACTTGTGAAAATAACATTCTGGAATTACTTAGTGTCTGAGAAAAAAAAAACTATCCATAGTAGCTTTGTTTCATTACGATAATAATATTCATGATAGATGTAAACCTGATGATCTATTATACGATGCGTTGATACACGCGGAACTATCATCGTGGTTTCCAATTGTCATGATTTCGAATAATTATCTATTACTGTCGGCAGAGTAATAACTCTATCTCTATCTCATTTCGCAAGGATTGTCCAGTCAACAAGGCTAAATACACGTACATACGTACATATCGGGAGCCTCGAGAGTCGAGAGTGAATTCACATCGAAGGAAACAATGTGTATTAAATTACACGCGTCACGTCGCATAGAGGAAGCCTCCGCGGATAATTTTGCAGTTGATTTTTAATTCTCATCCGCTCAATGACACAGGTTAGCGCTACGCACATCGACACACTCGTTCATCCATGACGATTGTGTGTGCAACGCGATCGTGATTCATACCCGATATAATCGACGCAATCTCGACGCAATCGCGACGGCGGATCTATTCAAGCGAACAGGCTATCTTTTTTTTCTTCTCGCTCATAATTTGCATACGTTCAGAGAGAACATTCCCGCGATAATTTATCCAATCCGCGAGTACCACCGTGAACCGATCGCCGTAAGTGATTTCTAACCGGCCGCCGAGAGTCGCTTATAATTCGCACTGTAATGGGGAACTTACGTAACGTCGGTAATCCTCACGCGCATTGCCCGCTAATGCGCCAAGCTGGCTAATAGCGTCGTCGCGTACGTCTTGAGCCCGGGATCGGATCGGGATGCCTGGAGGCACGCGTCGCGCGTACAGCCTACAGTGCGTAAAAGCGAGGAAGTTTTAAATGGTACCTCGGCGGCCGGGCACCTGCTAAAGCCGAGGGATCGGCTGGGCGGGAGCCGGTAAATGTCTCACTCAAGGCGCTCGTACGCGGCTCTAATGGAAGCCGCTAGGTAGGTCATCGGCTGTCATAAACGCACGCTCGTCCAAGTTTCCTCGACGGCGCGGAGCGTGTTAATAGCCTCATTAGATATCGCGTCGCAGTGGCGTACGTACCGTGATCGATCGGGATCATTGAAATCTCCCACTATGTCATCCTCTGAATCCGCTTTTCATAATTATTTTGTAAACTCAATGGCAAGCTAAATAACTCCTTTCCTAATTCCATATAAACAAGTTTTTCTGCGCCTAGTTATCATTATGAGTAAATGATAGACTTCATCTAACTAGATAACTAGACGGACAAATTTGTTTGTACAGTGGAATTATAGGAAAGGAGAATTTACAAAAGAATTACGAAAATTGAATTCTAACTTAGCAGGTGTGCCAATTCTATTGTCATTATATTTTAAATATATTTGATTATAAAATCATAAACGTGTAACCATTAATTTCCGGCCGAAGTAAAGGATAAAGTAAATGAATGACGCGTGAAATGAGACGATGTATTTGCGTAATTATGTCATAACCGTTCTTCTAATGTCGTTCTTCATGTAGGATACACCAGCATTATCTTTTTTCCTCTCAATTATGACATCGACTTCTACAGTCATTAGCCTCAACATTAGCGCCAATGGGACACGGTCTTCCCAGGCTGTCAACCATTCAAACATTGACCATATCAAATGTTGCTCAAGTTTGTTAATTAACCTCTCAACTCTACAAGCAAATTTAGTAACGTGTGACCGAACTATCATTATTTTATGGAAATGCGATTTCTCTATATGCACAATTTTCGCATCTTAACATGGAAATTGTTACATTGTTAAATCCATTTTATTACATAAAAAAAAATGGTATATATTCAAAACATTTTTCGATCACAATTTAATTGTGATATTATTTTAGTCTCAGTTTAGGATTGCGTTTCAAGTCGGCAGTAAGCAGTGCGCAGTTTACATAACTGAGGCGTGGTTTTCCATTTTCTGGTTAACTTGTGGTTTAATTTTAACCTCTCTTAACTTGATAATAATTTAAAAATTGTTTCTCTAGCTATGATTAATCATAAAACTACTGATTTTGTGGTAACTGTAAAAGTTACTCACTACAAATAATTTTTTAATTATCAGGTTAAATTTAATCACAAGTTAATCAAAACATAAGAAACCAAAAAAGTCTAAAACCTTAAAAAATGTATTTATAATTTACATATAAAAATATTATTGAACACTAAGAGCCTCGACCACATTGATCTTTTCCTTACTTATTTGATTGAAACATTTTTCTCGTAACTTTAATTACAAGCAAAATTGCACTGAATTAAGTCAGCAATGGAATTAAGATAACTTGCGATCTAATAGATGGAGAACTTGGAAATAATTTACTGTTATTATCTTTATACTAATAGACGTTCTTGATGGGTACGATAGTATTGCATTTACACGCACACACTTATTTGCTAAAATAAGATGCACTCGATTTGCCTCATCTGCATCGACCATGCGCGTTTCTCATCCAGATAAGCAGCCAACAAAAATTCCAACCAATAAAACATCTCTCGTGACGGTCTTCCAAGAATCTCATCGTCAATATTAGAGTCAGCTAAGCAATGCCACGGCATTGAATGTGTTAAGTTTCATTAGTTATCATATATACGCACGCCTGCATTCAACAATGTGCACATCTCCGACGACACCCGGTCGCGATCGAATGCGCAGATTACATTCAATGGGACGAAACGTCCTGCATCTGAAATTCCGTAGAACCTGTCGATACCCTGCATCATTGACAGTCGCGAATGAGAAAAGAAAGAAAGAAAAAAAAATACTCCGCACCCGTCCATTTATCCGTCGTTAATCGGCGATCACGACGTCGTATTCTAATATTTTCCATGAAGCGTCGCGCGCCATCACGAATTCTGATTGAGCTGTGACCGGGGCCGGGGCCGTGGCCGGGTGCGTGTATCGAGCCCTAAAGGTGCCAACGGGGTCGGGAGCGATGGTCGATAAATATTAAACGACTTTCCACCTGTCGCGTCGTCATCGTTGCGGCGAGGAGGGACAGGGGAAGCACTTCCGAGAGGGAGATGACTGAATGTTAATTAGCGAGGCGTGACAAGTGTTAAGTAATCCATCCATCTACCTATACGTGTCGGGAGGGAGGAGCTTGCCTAACGTTCAGTAATTAACGCGACACTTGGAACCCGGCCACGCATCATCGGCGAAACATGGCTCGTTCTTGCGAACGGCCGCGCGCAATTAACCGGCGATTTAACAACTAACTTCGAGCAGGTGGGAGACGAACCGGATGTTAAAATGAATTCATTGTGCTTTATGAAAATATGATTGAATTAATCTGAAATACGTATATAATAACCAGACTATTATTTGGGGATATATATAAAGGATTCATAATTTTGATTAAAATATTTTGATTACTGTAACTACACATATTGGTCGCGTGCATTCTAATGAAAATAATAACTTTCGGTTGATATATACAGACTAACCAAGTCTAACCGATATCACATCTAAATGTTCTGGTTGCATACTAAAATATTTGATTTTAATAACAAGGAAATTCAGAGAGAGAGGGAGAGTTTACTTCTACCAAAATTTACTTAATTAAACATATCTTGTTAATTCGACTATGATTGTTTCTTTTTTCGCGTATACTTTGTAGGACACTATCTATAATATTTTATACATAAAATCACAATATTATACAATCATATGCGATTTGACAATTAAATTAAATTTTACACATACGTATTAATAATTTTTGTGATAAATCGACAAGAAAATAGCAATAAGAGAAAAGTTAATTATACAACAAATATATGCAAAAAACATACGTGGCTTTACTTACTAATGCATTCATTCAACAATTGAATGAAATCATTTTTTTCCATTGATTCGAAATCATAAGTTCGAAGATAAAGTCACTGCCGAGAGTATTTCCAGCAGCACTATTTCAGCAATACTAAACTTAACTGATTGAGTTTTATCAACAGCATGTATGTTATCAATCTAAACATTTATCAATAATAACTTCTGTACATTATCGACAATAGCCTTCATCAATATTTTCATTTAAACATGCCCAGAGAAAAGGTTGCTTTAAAGAAATTTTCTTTGCTATATGATTAAAGAAAAAATTTCTTTGATTTAAACATTATTTTTTAAAATCAAATAAAATTTATTTGATTTAAAGAAATTTTATTTGATTTTAAAAGATAATGTTTAAATCAAAGAAATTTGTTCGCAAATCAAAGAAATTTTTTCTTTAATCATATAGCAAAGAAAATTTCTTTAAATCGAAGCAATCTTTTCTTTGAGTGCATATATAACTAATATATTATTATACTTTCGTACACTCGAGAATATTAATATTGTTTAATATGCGTTAATATATTTTACGCAATTTACTATTCTTTTTTGGTCTTTTATAACATAAAAACTGGATTATATCAACTATGTATAAAGGTACATTTATTAAATATTATGAAAAATTTGACATATTAAATACATGTATGATAATCATGTTTACGTATTTATATCTGATCAGACAAATAATACAATATATTTGTCATTTTTATAAAAACATAATTTCCTGTAGAAATTTTATATTCAAATCGCGAAAAACTTTTTATAAGGTGTATATATATATATATATATATATATAGTGGATTAAATTAATTAATAATGTCAATAATCTCAATGTAATCTACAAGATTCTCATGACTATAATAATTCTTGGTCTAATTAAAAAAAAATTAACGAACTGTCTGATTAAATTGG